GGCATATGAAAAGACAAATGGTGGCTATATTGTTTATTTATTGCTATGTAATACCAAATATTAGCAGCTTAAAGAAGCCAACATTTATTATATCATACAGTTTCTGAGAGTCAGCAATCTTGGAGCAGCTTAGGTGAGTAGGTTCTCAGAGTCTCTCATAAGTTTTAATTCAAGGTGGTAGCCAGGGCTGCAGTCACCCAAAGACCTGACTGAGGCTGTTGAATCTGCTTTTGAGATGGTTTACTCACATAACTGTTGACAAAAAGCCTCCGTTTCTCCTTGGCTGTTGTCAGAGAGCCTCAGTTCCTCACGACGTGGGCCTCTCTGTAGGTCACTGAGTGTAATCACACATGACAGCTGGCTTCCTCCAGAGTAAGTGACCCAAGAGAAAGCAAGGCAGAAGCTACAATTTCTCTTAATCTATCTCAGCAGTGACATACCTCCACATTTGTCATATTCTATTGGTCCCATGGAACAGCACAGACAAATGTGGAAGGGCACTACACAGAGCACGCACACCAGGAAGCAGGGATTACTGGGGGCCATCTTGGAGGCCGGCTACCACAAGAGGCACTCGTTCAGTGTCTGCATGAATGAATGAAGTGAGCTCCTCGGAACCACATCCCAAAGTACTCGTCACAGAAGAACTAGAATGAATTTATTTATCTGAAGGCAGTCTTGGCTATAAAGAAGTCATCCCTAGACACTGATTAGAACCACAAACAGCACTTAAGAGAAGTTCCCACACATTATTCACCCACTCTCTGAATAAAAAGACCTTGTCGTTTTTGTGACTATAAACTCAGAGCAGAGAAGAGGGGTAGATTGACCTGAGGCCACAGAGAAGATCAGATGACCCCGGAACAGACTTCCTGTCCGTGGAGAATGAGTTTTAGATAAGCACACCTGGGTACTGCTGAGTTGTTTATAATGCTAAGTCTACTTCTGTCTGCACCAAAGGGAAATTTATGGGCCCAGAAGAACGGCCAGCTCACAGCATAACAATGTGTTAAAATTTTCCCTTTTCTAATTTTGGGATGAGACACACTTTCCCACTACATCCTATTCTCTGATGTAAGAGCAGAACAAATAACTGAACATCCCTCCAGATTTTTATAGAAGACTCTAATATTACTTAATAAGTGTGTACCTTAGAGGAAGATTCATGGCCTCATCCCTTTGTCTTGTCCTTTTGTCTCATACAAGTTCCCTGAATGGGCTATCCTTTCCTTAATTTCTTCTTTCTTTTATTTTTTTTGAGACAGAGTGTTACTCTGTTGCCCAGGCTAGAGTGCTGTGGCGTCAGCCTATCTCACAGCAACCTCAAACTCCTGGGCTCAAGCGATCCTTCTGCCTCAGCCTTCCTAGTAGCTAGGACTACTGGCATGCGCCACCATGCCCAGCTAATTTTTTCTATATATTTTTAGTTGGCCAATTAATTTCTTTCTATTTTTAGTAGAGGCAGGGTCTCGCTCTTGCTCAGGCTGGTCTCGAACTCCTGAGCTCAAACGATCCACCCGCCTTGGCCTCCCAGAGTGCTAGGATTACAGGTGTGAGCCACGGTGTCTGTCCTGCTTCTAATGTCAACTTACTGTAACTCTACAAGTTCTTCTAGTTCCAGCCAAGTCTCTTCTTTAAGATTTCCTGATTATTTCTTTCAGAGTGTTCACTTCCTCACTGGAACAACCTTGTCTCACAATTCGGTTCACTCTTAGGATATTTGACTTTGTTTTTCAAGTGTTTAGGTAATAAATATGTCATATATATTTTTATTTTCTACCTCCCCAAAATAGATATTCTATAAATGAATATATTTTATTTTCTTTAATAGAATAAGAGTTTAATTTTACCACAAGGGCTCCTTATTCCTGAAAGAATAAGGTAAATACTGGGGTAAATACTTTTGTTATATTCAAACTGCTTTTCAGTCTTTGCTTTTTAGTTTATGTTTGCTTTTTATTGAGATTTCAGACTTTTAAAATTATTACACTTTTGTAGGCAAGACACCCATACTGTAAAATTAACAGATTACATATGTGCAGTGTTGATACACTTCCCCTTTAACAAAATTAAATTCACTAATCACAGGCATTTCTAAAGCCCTTTGAAAATGTGTTGCATGCTTATGGGTGGCCTCATTCCAGAGAACTGAATATGTGCTAGAAAAGGAGAGGAGGCTTAGGGGTGGGGAGGAAACCCTTACAAGGCAAAAGAACGGAATACGCGCAAAGCTCTGTACTAAACGAAGGAGGACAGAGGAATGCAGTTTTGGAAATATTGAGGGGAATAAAAAGAGAAAAGGAATGAAAGGGAGAATAGGGAGTCTGACCACACTCAGGAGATCACCCAGAATTCACAGATCAACACTAAAGGAAGGGTGCCCCTCAACCCCTCAATCAACGCACCCCCCCTAGGTGACTGCTGACTTCTGAGACATCTTGGGGATGCCCAGACCAAGACACCACTCTCCACACTCAGTGCCTCCTGAGACATCAGCCCTTTACCTAACTTATGTTCTGCCATCCTGCATCAGAACTGGAGCTTTGGATTCTTAGTGGAAGTATAGTGTGGTGGAGTCCAGTGGACTCGGAAGAATGCTGGTTCTGCCACTTAAAAGCTAGCAAGTTACCTGATATCTTGGAACCTCCATTTTCTCATCTATAAATTGGGGCTAATAATAACTACGAGGCAGGATTTTTGTGAGGATTGCACATTAGTTGGTACTCAATGAACAGCAGCTATTGAAAAGCAGGGTAGTGTGATGGTTGAAAGACTGGAGTCTGGATCTAGATGGGGGCTGAATCCTTGCTTCATTACCTATTTTCTGTGTGACTGATTTTCTCTGTGCCTCATTTTCCTAATCCATCAAATGGGAATAATAATAGCACAGTTTCTATGTCAGAGTTGATGAAGGGATATGGTGGTTATAAGTCAGAGCCTGTCACATAAAAAGCATTCAGTAAATGGAAGTACAGTAGTAACAGCAGCAGCAGTAGTAGTAATAGCAATTGTTGTTGTTGTTATTATTACAAAAATGTAGTGGAGGCAACAATTAAGATTCCATGCTCTGGGCCAGGCACAGTGGCTCACACCTATAATCCTAGCATTCTGGGAGGCCGAGGTGGGTGGATCGGTTGAGTTCAGAAGTTCGAGACCAGCCTGAGCAGGAGCGAGACCCCGTCTCTACTAAAAATAGAAAGAAATTACATGGACAACTAAAATATATATATATAAAATTAGCTAGGCATGGTGGCACATGCCTGTAGTCCCAGCTACTCAGGAGGCTGAGGCAGAGGAATTGCTTGAGCCCAGGAGTTTAAGGTTGCTGTGAGCTAGGCTGATGCCACAGCACTCTAGCCTGGGCACAGAGTGAGACTCTGTCTCAAAAAAAAAAAAAAAAAATATATATATATATATATTTTCCATGCTCTGGTGCTACACTACTTGGGTTCAGTTCCTGGTTTTATTCTTTCCCAGCTGTGTGATCCCTGAGTCTCCATTTCCTCATCTGTAATTTGGGGATAATAATCATACCTACTTAGTAGGATTAAATGAATTAATATATGTAAATTGCTTAGAACAGTGCTGGTGCATAGTAAACAATAAATTTTAGCCATTAAATTCCAATCAGCCATAGCTCCAATTTTTAGGCATTTCTAAGGGTAATTTGAAAGCTCAATATTTTTTACAATTAAATAAACCTCAAGTTTATATATTGTGCAGTAATTAACCTGTACTACCAGTTGCCTTGGAAATAAGCCAGGCTTTTAGCCATAAAAGGTTTTCAACTGGGTCCCAAATGACTATCTCTTCAGTGTTGATGTATATAGCAGATGGTGAACTGCATTTTTTAAACCACTCCTTCCAAAGAGTCGACTGTAAAGTTCTCAGAAAAATCCAATGCCCTCATTACGAGAGAGTACCATTGTCTCAGCTCTCTTACCCCACACCTTAATGAGTGGCACTGTGGAATCCCACACAAAGGGAAGAGACCGCATAATTAGGCACATTGAAGACTTTCCCTGCGTGCTACAGACAGCAGTTTTCAATGACACACTGAAAGCCAGCCACTTCAAATCACTTTACTTTGCTCTCTGGCTGTACCGCAGTAACAGCACAAGTTGTTCGTTCAGATACCGGAAAGGCTTACAGTCCAGGAAACTTTTTTTTTTTCTTGTCTACAGCCAATAATCTTGTAGCATGGTGATATCACTCCACAGTTATGCAATATGACTTAACTGTTGGATAGGTGACAGGAATTCCACTGACACCAAGATCACAATGAAACTGCTTAACTGCTAAATTAGTCATATTGTACATTACAGATAAGTCACTTTTAAGCTGTGATTAACTGCCAGTTCAAACAGTACTATTGTCTGGGTAGGGAAATCAGGCCCCCATCACTCATAGTTTAAATGATCACATCCAGTTATTCCAGCATCTGAATAATGCAAACAAGGTGGTTATTGAACTTTACAATATCACGGGCTCTTGAAAAGAGACACAGTATGAAAAGGAAACACTTTCTATTCTCTATTTTTAGGGGGAAACTTGTACAAAATTTCCTTGACTATCTTCTGAAATCAGTCATTTTATTCTCTTGATGATTTTTCCATATAAATAGGATGAGAATAGGATCCTGTACCTTAATGATGAGAGGGATTGTTCAGTGTTGTTCTCTTTTTCTCACCCAAACTAGCCTCTGTCCTACAATTCATCTACACTGTGAAAGGGGACTTTTTACTGCCCACAAGCCATGATGAGATAGATATCATTTATTCTGTAATATCAGTTGTTCAAATTTTCTCATTTTTAAATTGCTTAAATTTTCCCATTTTTAACATGTGTTAGAAAAATTTAGGAAATACTGAAAAGCACAAAAAGAAAGAAATCCCTCACAATCCCACCCTCCCCAAAACAACCCTAATTAAAACTCTGTTGTAATTTCTTCTCCTCCCAAAAAAGACTGAATGAATACAATAGCCTAACAAACTTCTTACCTGGCGGCATGGTGGGTGCTGGGCATAGAAAGATAACGAAGATTCAATCCCTGCCATTCAAGAAGTATACAGCTTATTGTAATGGGGTATCTAAACACAAAAGAGGCATTTAGCAGAGGCTGCAGAGTGGAATGTGGGGTAGAGGAGATGGAAAGGGATTATCAGAGCAGATTAGAGAAATCCTAGAGCAGGGCTACTCAAAGTGTGGTCCACTGGGTGACATCAGATTGTACAAACTACCAATGGAAATCGAGAGTCAGCATTTAAAATTTTCAGAGCAATTTGACAGAGTAATTGTATTTCTGTTGAATCTAATAATTTTTAAATTGGGTTTATATTTTATGCCTTTTTATTTCATTTTGCTGTTATTTATTTTTATTGCATTTTCAAAAATATCAGTTCACAATGGATTAGGGATAAAAAAATTAAAAACTCCTCTGTCACTATGAATAGTTTGAAAACCACTGGCCTCAGAGACTCAACAGGTAAGCTAAGTGTAGGCTAACCAACTATTGTAGTTTGTGCTAAAACTGGGAAAGTTTCAAGCAAATCAGATGACTTGGCTACATCAGAAGTGTTTAATTCCAAGAAAAAGTTATCTTCATCAGATAATAGATTAGATGAAGGGAAAGCAAGCATCATCAAAGATATAATAGAAGAAAATTTATCTGAGCTTAAGAGAGGTTTTAGTCTTTAGGTCAAGAAGGTTCATTAATAGCCAGGCAATATTATTAAATAGAGTGCCATAGCTAGCTATTATCTGATGCCCTTTCTAAATTCCAAGGATCAAGACAAAAATCTATAAGATCACCCACACACATGCAGAGCAAATTGAAGTGAACAGAATAAATTAATCAGGTAGTGAAACACAGTATTTTATACTGTTAATCCATTTCTTTAGCAAAAAAGATGTTTGCTTTTGCTTTCTAAGTTAAAAAAGAAAAGAAGTATGAAGACAAGACTTTGCTCTACGTATTTGTATGCTCCAAGCAGGCCCTGGGGTGGACCTGTAGGGTCTCCAGGCCTGGCATTGCCTGTTCTGTCACTATCAAAGAAAGCTCACAGCTGAAGCAGCTGATCCAGTTCATCGAAAGGCTCTTAGTCTAAACCTGTGGCCTCTGACACATTCTCCCTGCTGACTCCTTCCCCTGAGATTGTGTATCATATTGCCTGTGTTAGCATATAGTATTTTCAGCTGCTTTCTATTGTTATAAAATACTGTAGTACTACAAAGAAAAGATAAGAAATAAGGGAGAATTGTCTTTTATATACAAATATAACAATGAGGGTAGAATAAATGGAAATAGAAAACAATACCAGGAAAGATGAAAATGTGAATTTGCTAATGTGAAGAATGTAGGCCAAGTGAGGTGACTCACACCTGTAATCCTAGTACTTTGGGAAGTCAAGGCAGGAGGATTGCTTGAAGGCCAGTAGTTCAAGAATGAACATAATTTTTTTGATTTGGCATCAAATCTGCCTCTAAGCTTCCTTGTTGGGGATGAAGAAGTTAGGAATCACAATCATTAAAATCGTTGTTATTATGATGAAGGAAGAAGCATATAAATTTCCAGCAAGACATTTTTTTTCTGGTATCAAAATCTAAAACAAATCCTCAAGGGGGTGGGGCATCATGTGGTGTGGTAGACACTACCCTCACTATAATTTCCATAGTAAATGCAGGAGTGAATTTCACATACCTGCTTTGTTTTTCTTTTCTTTTTTGTTTTTTGGTGGGTTTTTTTGAGACAAAGTCTCACTGTGTTGCCCAGGCTAGGGTGCAGTTGTGTCACCATAGCTCACTGCAACCTCAAACTCTTGAGGCTCCAGCGATCCTCCTGCCTCAGCCTCCCAAGCAGCTGGGACTTAGGCCCAGCTAATTTTTCTCTTCTCTTCTCTTCTCTTCTCTTCTCTTCTCTTCTCTTCTCTTCTCTTCTCTTCTCCTTCTTCTTCTTTCTTTTTTTTGTAGAGACAGGGATCTCACTCTTGCTTGGGGTGATCTAGAACTCCTGGCCTCAAACAATGCTGAACCTCCCAACTCAGACTCCCAAAGTGCTAGGATTACAGTGCAAGCCACCATATCTGGCCCACTCCTGCTTCTTAAAGGGATCCTCAAGTCCATGAAGGGTTTCAAGATGTATAAATACATTATAACCTGAAGACCTTATTTGATTCAAGGATAGAACTTAGAATACCCTAGGAGAGTAGATGAATGGCATATCACTTAGTGTTCTCTGAACATTATTTCTCTCAGCCAGGCTCGTATAGGAACAGGTAATTTGAGGTCTCATGATGTCTGAAAAGAAGTTACTCTGGTGCTCTCTATTGCTGATTGAGGGAATATAAAAATTCTAGTTTCAAAGGAAATACAGCTGGACTTTGTTTACCCAGCGCTTTCCAGCACTGATATATTAGCACTGGACATCAAATTTATGTGAGATTCAGCTATTATGCTCACATAATGAATATTATGTTAGAAGGTATGAAGCATTTAACATTCTTAATAGTTTTTCTTCTCCTCTGGCACTCTGAATAGATTTAATAAATGCTGTAATACTTTCATTAATGTGAATGGAATTTTTAATCAAAATATTGTTATAATACCCAGTCTTCATAAATTTAAGTTAGAAAAACTTCTTTTATCTGTAATTTGTTTGAATGAGTAAGAATCAGTTTGCACATCACGTGTGTACCTTATGATCATGTTTTGTAAAATAGATATTAATATTTGTATAACTATAATATCCATAAATATGTAAGCATAGAAAAAGCATTGTAGAGATACTGTATAATAAAAATATTAACCTGGTTATCTCTGGGTGGCTGGATTCGGATGACTTTTATTTTTTTCTTTGTACTTGTTCATATGTTTGAGTGTTCTGGAATTAAACTACTATTATCTTTGCAAGAAGAGGAATAACAGTATTATTGTTTTACTTTAAGGCATGTAGGGGTGAGAGCAATTAATGTCTACATCATCCTTAAGGCAAATCAGTCAGATGATCATCTTGCACCACCACATACCTCTTATATCACAGTTTCTCTTTATCAACTTATATGATGATTTTCAAGTGTTGGAAAGTTTAGGAAAGAGCACAATTCAGGCTGGAAACAAATAGCACTTTTGCCAATTTAGCAGCTACGTGACTTTGGGTAAATTTTTAGGCTTTGGATTCTCGATTCTTCATCTTCAAAATGGAGACTGGATTGTTGGAAGCATAAAGTGAAATCGCTGATACAAAGTAAAGTGCCTGGAATAAAATAGGTGCTCAGTAAACATTATATGCTTATTTGCTTGCTCTATTCCTAAAAGGGTTTGTCCTGATTCTATAAACATTAGCTCCCTTCCCTATCGTAGCTTTACATAAACCTGGTTTCAATCCAATAAAAGTATTTGGGAAAAATGAGGCCCATAATCTCTCTTTTCCCATGTTCACTACTTAGAAGAAGAGAAAGAGAGAGGAAGAGAGCAAAAAAAAAGACTTACTGAGGATCTACTGAATATCAGGCATTATGTTATGTCTGTTACTTTGCTTAAGGAAGGTTCTACATTTTCCCAAATACTTAGACATCTGTGAAGCGTCTCATGTTTCTACCTTATTATTAATGCATTTACCTCTTGAGAACGATCTTACATTATATCACCATTCACCCAAAAACAGCTTCCCTGTTTCTGTTTTTATCTTCATAGACTCCTAGTTGTCACTGATTATGTCATCATCACAGTTAGGTCACATTTTTAGAACTTCATGTCATAGCATTTGGGACCTGAGCGATGTAAATTTTATTTTTCTATTTCTTCATCTGCATGTCAGTATGTCTCCAATCTTTATTTTTTTTTACATTAATTCATTGGTACTCTGTCTCTTTAATATATGTTAAGCATGCCTTACTTAAATGAACCTCATTCTATGTGGAAAAAATGAGGCAGAAAGCTAATGAAATGGATATCTCAAATTATCAGGGCCCAGTTTTGAAAATTTGACTAAATTAATCCCTCTAAAAGAAACTGAATCTCATCAAATTTACAACACGGGAAAGCATACCAGTATGAGAATGTTTCTGGGTCTGTGACGGTTCATTTTCTTTATAACGTGGCCTCAGTATTTTAGAGACAGTTAAGCAATTGTAGAGAGGCCTGCAGCATTTGGGAATGAGGCCTCCCTTCCTAATGATCTATTGCAGTTGTATTGCACATAGATTGCACAACAAAGGTTTCTATTTTCCTACTTTTTTTTTTCTTTATCATGTGCCAACTAAGCCTTTTTTTCTACACTCCCTTAAAACCTCACCCTTTCTCATCTTTCATGTTTCTGTCTTCCTGACATGAAAATCCTAAGAAGGTAAATTACTAATTGCATTCCTCAAAGCCCCAAATAAATATGATGTAATTAGGTACATAAACATGACCTGCATCTTTTCCCCCTGAAAGCTTTCCCAGCAATTTGTCCACTAAAGCTTGGGTTTTCTGCAAACACATTTCCCAGGAAGTGTCCCCAAATGGCATGTGATCTTTCCATTTTAGACGAGCTGCCTTGATCAGGTATCACCCAACTGACCTGCTTTTTTTTTCTGCCTTTATTCTGAACACAATGTTGTCTCTACAGACTATCCACTAAGTCCTGGTTTTTCTTCACTGAATTCCATTCTCTCAGCCCTATCCCTACACCACACTTGACACATGCACTGGTTGCTAACATACCTTTTTATTATTCCCTCTTGATTCTTATTGGGCCTCTGAGCAACCTAGAAATGCTGTGGTCATTTCCCCAGTGTTCCCTTCCAAGATTTTGGCCCTATGGAGCTTGGCTTCAGGTTTGCCATCACCTCATTTACTTTTTTAGTTTCCAATTGGCTGGGAGCCAGCCCTCTGCTCTCTGCCCCAGGCTTACCTTGTAAGCTACCTATCCAGGTCATGAGTTTTATTTATGTCTCTCACTATTTGAGGGAGTAAATCCAACCCAAAGTAGTGAAGATGAATGAAAGGGGAAGAAACTGATCAAGGCTCTAAGATGCTCTTAGACCATAGATCACAGAGCAGAAGGGGTCATAGAGGCCATCTAGTCCAAGTCTATCATTTTATAATGACAGAGTTGGGACCTCTGAGTCTAAAGTCATACACCATTCAAATGAATTAGTGCAAGAGCTTCCAGGAGGAGCATTTCCAAGTGGTTAAAATCTTTGACTTTGGAATCATATAGACCTGGGTTCAAATCCAAGCTGTGTGGCCTTGTATAATTAATGTCAACCCACAAATCCACAGGATCCTTACCTATCAAAATGGGGATGATAACGACTGTCCTACTCAGTTGTAGAGCTGGATATATGATTACTATTAATTATTAACTAGAATCCAGCTCTACTGACTTTTAGTCAAATGCTCTTTTTTTGTTTTTTGAGATAGAGTCTCACTTTGTTGCCAGGCTAGAGTGAGTGCTGTGGCATCAGCGTAGCTCACAGCAACCTCAAACTCATGGGCTCGAGCAATCCTTCTACCTCAGCCTCCCAAGTAGCTGGGACTCCAGGCATGCACCACCATGCCCGGTTAATTTTTTCTATATATTTTTAGATGGCCAATTAATTTCTTTCTATTTTTAGTAGAGACGAGGTCTCGCTCTTGCTCAGGCTAGTCTCGAACTCCTGACCTCGAGCCATCCTCCACCTTCACCTCTCAGAGTGCTAGGATTACAGGCGTGAGCCACCGCGCTCGGCCCCAAAGTCCCAATTCTTTAGCACATCTTTCAGGCTTGTCACCGTCTCTTCTTGATTTGCCAGCCTCAACTTCTCTTCTCAGCCCACTACCCTCCCTGAGCCACTTGGACTTGTCTAAATCTTCTGATTTACTTTCAGCCCTCTGCATGGGCTATTTCCTTGGCCAAAAACACTGTCCTACTTGTCCTTCAAAACTGGTTCAGATTTGTCTGCAGCAAGTCTTTGAACCTTTTGCCTACCCCCAACACTCCCCTCCGCACACAGGAGCAGAATTCCTCCTTGGAAGTCCAGTAGCATTCTGTGCTTACCTCAAGCACAACTGGTAAGGCACAGGTTTACATGTTTGCATCTCTCTCCCTCTAGAAGGCAAGTTCCCTGACCAAAGATGCTGGGTGTTTTAAAGAACCTACTATGGGCCAAGCACTGTTATAGGAACTAGAAAACAAAGGACAAGAGACACAAAGTCCCTGATGTCTTGTAGCTTACAGTCCAGTGCAATAAGACAAACAATTAACAAATAGGTAAATGAATAAATAAATACTCTCAGATAGTGACAACTGCTATGAAGATAAAAAAAAAATGGTGCAGTGTCTAAAGAGTAGTAAGTGCTGGGAGGCCAAGGTGGGAGGATCATGTGAAGTCAGGAGTTCAAGACCAGCCTGAGCAAGAGCAAGACCCTGTCTCTACTAAAAATAGAAAAAATCACCCAGACCTGGTGGTACGCACCTGTAGTCCCAGCTACTCCAGAGGCTGAGGCAGGAGGATCGCTTGAGCCCATGAGTTTGAGGCTGCTGTCAGCTAGGCAGACACCATGGCACTCTAACCCAGGCAACAGAGCAAGACTCTGTCTCTAAATAAATAAATAAAGAGTAGGCAATGAGGGGAAGGAAAACATAGGGTAAAGTGGTCTGATCACAGCAGAGAACTGAGGAGGAACCAGCCAAGCCTGGGAATACCATGGGCAAGATTGTTTGATACTAATGGAAGAGTAAAAGCACATAAATATTTGTTGAAGGAAGGATCGGATTGGTTGGGATCTAGTTCAAGGATGTAAAGGGGACTCAACCTCCTTCCATATAGAAACCAGGAGTACAGAGTAACTTTTCAGGCCAGGAATATAAAGCAGAGAAAAGCACCAAAATTATCAGGTCTATTTCAGACTTGGGGCCTTGAGAGGGGTGGTCAGAACTGGTGATCTGAGGGCAAAACAGGTTTTCATAAGCCAACATTGCTTGAAGAACGTTCCAGAAACACTGGACTAGACCCTGAAGTTGCCATGAAGTCTCAGTTTGGGAAATACTGCTTTCCCAACCTCCATGCCACAATCACCTGGGCACTCACAATGCACATTAGCATATTAAAGGCTCCAAATATCTTGGCTTTAGGAGAACCTCATTAACTTTTATTTTCCAAATTAATTTGACCACTATATGCTTTTTGTTTTGTTTTGCTTTGTTTGAACACAACACTGTCTTAATCCTGTGAGCCAGTATTTGTAAAACACACTTTTGGAAGCTCCGGTCTAAATTACGCTCCACAATCCACAAGCCTCACTGTGGTAATTTCTACCTTCCAGTTCCATTCTGCTTAGTGGAAGCATTAAAATAATTAAAGTGATAAGATTTTTGAAAAGATGTAATAGTTTGGTTTGCACGTGTGAAAGTAAAAGGTGCAATCTCTTTTCACCACATTTATACACCTTAAAATAATTTTAATATAACTAAAAATAGTTAATACCTATAAAGATAAATATGTATAAATATATAATAATACTGGATCTGTGAAAAAATAAATTTAATTACTAAAGGTTAAAATCCAATTTGAATGCATTTTATGCACTGCAGATTAATCAGATTTTTAAAATTAAAATTAATAATTTCTGCTCAACCAAGTGCAAAACAAATTAAATTTATCCATCACAAACTCATCTTATTTTGATTACAACCATTTTAAATGGCAGAACTATTAGGCACTGTAAGATTAATTTTTAAAAATCAAATACATTAGACTTCATAATAATATAAATACTTAATAGAGAGAAAAAAATCCATGTCAAAGGCTAATTAATATCACTGACACTTTCCCAGTAGCTAAAAATAAGACTAATAGCGAGTTTCTCTAGTATCAGCCTGTATTATAATAAATTTAAAGTCCATTTGGGAAATTTATTTTACACTTCTTTTATTAGAATAAATCTAACCATACAAGATGGTCATTCTAACCATTGAAAAATGTTAAACTTCAGTCATAAAATTTACATGTATGAATGATAATGTATATCATTAGAATATACGCAACCCACTTCCCAGGTAAGTGTTGATTATAGCCATCCTTGTCGCATAACTTTTCATAAGTTTTCATTTTTTTAATACTTTTAAAATTATGAGTCATCTCAAATAAAGTTACCTCAGAATAAGCCACTGAGAGAATGAATGCTAGTAGTGTAGTAGCAACAAATGTTAATAGTGTAATTTATTCTAAAGCCAAGTTTTCTCTGGTAAATATCAAATATTTGGCCTGGCATGCTTGTAATCCCAGC